GTGTGCCCGTTAGAGCATTCAGTCATTTCTTCTATGCATAATATGTTACTATAAAATAGTGAGTAACATAAACATGTGTATAAGTTTTATTTATAGGTTTGGTCAATGCGTAAATGACTACAGCTTCCTTGTGCATATGAACGGAATATGTTAAGTAAATGTCCATCCAGTTTGCGTTTGAATGCATCTGTGGAGTTCGCCATTACGACCTCCTCGGGCAGTCCGTTCCAGGCCCCGATGACTCGTTGTGAGAACGAATATCTGCGGACATGCAGACGGGTAAAGGTTCCCCGGAGTTTGAGAGAATTCCCACGGGCACAGTCCCGATTCCTCACGATCTTGTACGTCCGTATGAGATCACCTCAGGTATGCCTCTACTCAAGAGGAAAAATGTTAAGTGCTTCTAGTCTAAATTCGTAAGATGAGAACTTTAGGCCCTTCAAGATTTCTTTGCCCTCCCTTGTACTCTTTCCATCAGCTGGTAGTCCTTTTGTAGCCATGGGCGCCATGCCTGAACTCCCTATTCGAGATGCGAACGAATGAATGTCCCGTATATTTTGCCAAATAGTTCTTTATCTATGTCGACAAAAGTTAGCTTAGTGGCAAACAGAACACTATTTGCCCCCGTAACTTACGCCAGTTGAAGTCCTGCATGTAGCAGTTATTAGCAAGTCGTTTATGCACTTTGACCGATCGGTGAAGGAACTCACTCGTGCCGCTGGGCTGCCTTGGGTTTTGTTATGTATTGAAAACGGAAGGGAGTTTGTAGACGGGACGAATGTACTGTATGTAAAAAAGAAGGCTGCCTGTAGGCAGAATGTCACGTAGGCAAAACAGAGGACTGTCTGTAGGGAGGACGTGTACTGAGGACGAGAGCACAGTTCAAGTGACGAGTCATGTTGACACCGCGGTGTGTATGGTGTGGGGTAACTGCAATAGGCCGAATACTGGCCAATCAGAATAAGGACAGGGGCGAGCCCGCCAGCCAGGAGTGACGACTGGGCAGTCAGGACAAAGAAGGGGATGAACACGTGTCCGTAACCTTGACCAACGCTTGACGCGCGCATCGTTTCATGATGTCCCGACACTACGGACGGGCATACATAGCAGGTCTCATTTCTCAGGTCTTGACGGCTGAAGCAGAGTAGTGTAGGCGGGTTGTATTGCCGGTTAAAACAAGGGAGACTGGAATGCGGCCATGTCTGGTTCATTAGCCATGGGCAGCGAGTTATGACGAGTACGCAACCCGAGGCTCGAACTCGCGAATTTGTTTTTTGCCCAGAAGTCTAACTTCCTAACCATCGAGCTACGAGTTGCTTGTCTTGCCGGTTTATATGAGGAGTTAATGACACTCTTTGGTGAACATTCACTGATCGCTAGCAGAACAAAATAGCGATAAATGCAAGTTCAGAGAATGCGTTACAAGTAAATTAAGTACAACAACAGTTGGGTAAAAACAAGATTATGGCAAAGAGCTACCTTTCGAGACATGTACAGCTAACACCAACCGCAAATTGCTCAGACCTTTTCATGAGGGTCTGATCTGGACGTCCAGTGGGCAAACCCAAACGCATAACTCCTGATGTGTGACTGGTAGTCAAAAGAGATGTTACGGGGTGGCGCAAAAGGTGACAGTGGACCAAGGACTCCGGACGCAGATGAACATCGCCGACAAATATGCGGGGAGACTGGAATGACCGCTTCGGGCTTATAAGCCGTCATCAGTCATTCATATCCCATGCCAAGTGGTACACCACTGCGGGACCGCACCCACAACCTGGATCCAAAGTTCAAACCCACTGAGACATGAACTCATTTTCTTTCCCCGGTTTAGATCAGGAATATTGACATTGACGGATGAACGTGCGCCCATCATGCGAGTACTACAAGCAGATTAACACTACTGGGGGGCCCTGCCGGTGGGTTTCAACAGTAAGCCTCCACAGCAGAACGGTAGAAATCAGGCCCGTAACTGATCTGTGCCTATGTAGTGGGCGTTGAAGCCCGTCATCGCCTACTCATCACGCCAATGCTGCAGTCACCAGTCCGTCTCTCGCTCAATGACCAGAGCGATCTACTGATATACCCAGCCAACACACGGCTTAATCTCGCGCAGTGCAACCAATCAGCGTCCTCAAACACTCTGCGACCCTCGGACAATTCCTGTACTGACAGGAACTTAGGATTCCGCTCTTAGCGGGACGGGCGTGACGCCGCACGCTCACGCGGCTCGTACGGCCGAACGACATGCCAAATCGTTTGGCCACTTTCTCCTTACTGTTGTGTACACAATACATTCTTCCTTCTACTCTGGCCTTCCCAAGACTTATCTCTAACATCTCCTAAAGAATCAGGCCTGGAAGATCTTAAATAAAACAAGATTCTCTTCTAAAAAAAATAACCTTCTTAGCCTTAACACCTCCTCGATACCACCTCGATAGGTTTGCTCACTGGACGTTCAGATCAGAGTCTCACCAAAAGGTCTGCAGTAAACGAGCGATCTACTGGCATACACGGCTTAATCTTGCGTGATGCAACCAATCACAAGCCGTTTCACACAAGCCCCCAAGTCGGTGGCTGTGGCCTGTGACATCTGGGGATTTCGTGCCCTGAGGGATGGACGCGACGGCGCTACACTCTCACGGTTGAACGCCATGCCAGACCGAGTGGCAACTTCCCCCCCC